GAATTCTTTGACATGTCATTTAACGACTGTTGTTGATCTGTTTCATAGCTATTTGTATCTAAGTATATTTTTAACGAACAATTTCCCGTTTCCTGATTTGCACGCTTCAAAGCTTCAAGTCGAAGGGTGCAAAAGCTTCAGTTCCGTTGTACGCATCCGCCATACAATTATGGCCCCAACCCAATTAGAGTGTCACTTAAATGTTTTGCCTGACGTCTTGAAACGGAAATGAATTTGTCAACTTGTCATCGCAGTTGTCAACTTAATTAGCAAACAAATGTTTATTATAATAAATTATTAACTGCCTGAGTGTATTGGTAAATGAAAACCTAATTACGTGGGCCTGGCAAAAGTTGGGTAAAAGGAAAGTTTTGATTCAGAAGTAACAAAAAAGTATTTATGACCCAAATCTGGTTTTAGTGCGAAGATTTAATTAATTTAAAGTACTTTTTACCTTTACTGAGACTTTTTCAATTTCATTAAAAGTAAGTTTGCATATTCGAAGGACTTAAACTAAGCAATGGGTTTATCGTTTGCTTTAGAGCTCAATAAAGGTGCATAGTTTGATTTGCAGTATTGGATCACCGCTGACTGTGGGCTTAGTTTTAGTTTTTGGGAATATTGCGTATACGCAGCATGAGCACTGACATCCACAACGCCCGCTGGTTATTAAATGGTTCCAGATCTATGTAGCCTGACAGCTTAGCAGGCTGGTGTGCAACGGCAGTGTACCGTTGCCCCAAGTTACACACACACGCACATACGTATATAAAGTCGTTCCCGAGCGCGCGTTGACAATAATCTGCGCTTCATCAGCCACTCGCAGGCATCGCTCTTCATTTCGACATAGCGATTGCTTTTGTGGTTCTTTTTTGCGTTTTGCTCGGTGTATCGCTTTACGTTTTTGGACCCTATTGCCGTGCATTGTTTCGCCGTTAACTGTGGGGCAAGGTGCAGAGGTCCATCGATTGTGAACGCAGCATATGCGTTTTTATTTACAGCTCGTGCTCTATTGATGCGTTTTAGATTGTTCCACTGGGCAGTTGCTTTGCTGGCCACTGGGAATTCCTGCGGTTTTTCAATATGGCTTCGAGTTTGACCCGAACGGCTTAATTTCACTGAATCTGGCTTACCCCAACAGCTGCGTGCATTAAACTGAATAAATCTACAGGTTACTAGGCGTTCAAAAGGGATGCTAAACATTTTCACTGCAATTTGATTCCACAACACTTTATTTGATCTACTTTATTCCAAGTGAATTACTCATGTCCGTATATGAAATGTGCACATTTCTTTGAGCTTACATTTAATTACTTAGATTACTCTTCAGGCAGAGTTGTCTTACGACCAGTAGTTTTTCATGTACCACTCCTCATTTTTCGAGCTGTTAGAATAGACGTGTACTTTTTGCTACATCAATTTCCAATTACGTGGACACTATGTCGCAGTAGACTGGAATCAATAAACTGGCAACAAAATGCTGATGGAAACCTGTATAAGAACTATATGCCAGCTTAACACCTTGAGGTTAAATCGAGTAGCACAAAAAGCGTCAGCTAGCGCTAGCTAGACAAACGCATGGCCAACGTGTGCAATTTAACCTTAGACACGAATGCCGGCTGCTGCCAGGGAAGGGGCGGTCACCAGGGCAAAAGATACAGAGCGTAAAGCAACAAAAGCTTCTTTTCGGGTGCGAAGCTAGGGAGGGGGCAGGTCAAAAATAATGGCAGAGCGAAACAATTTCACCAGCACTTAGCCATTTAAACCCTAACTGAACCGAAAGCGCACGTATGACCCTGGACTGTGGAGCAGCCAAAACGAAAAAAAAATCGAATATAGAAGCATGAGAGCTCTGAGACAAAGCGTAAGCGCGTGTGAGAATTGAACGAGATGTTAACTTAAGATTTGGAAGGGGTTTGTGTTCGCAGGGGGTCAAAAAGAGGCAACCGCAAAGGGCTTAAATTTATAACCAACGCGAAGCTATGCTGCAGGGCGGTATATGGGGGCGTCGCTAACAAGCAGCAAAATGAAAGCCACTGCGAAATGCATTCTCAAAGTTGTTGCGCGGCGCAAAAACCGTGTCGCCCTTTCGTGTGACGGCGACGATTTGAGTTGCTGACCCCGCGTGCCATGCTGTGGCATACACTCTTCTCATATTTTTTGTTGCTCTTTTTTGTGCTCTGGTCAGCTGGCACCCAGTTTGATATAGCAACTGCAAAAATGGCAGCTCACCTTAGCGGGCAACTCAACTGAACTGAACGCTGAATAGTTTTTGCTGCTAGCAAAAAAGAAAAAACTTGTCACATGTGCAACGCAACATTTCCTCTGTGTGTTTAGGTCTGTCTGGGTGTGTGTGTGTAGCTGTTGGTCGAATTTCAAATGTTGCTTACTCTGCTGAATAGTTGGATATTTGGACATTGCATGTGTCGAGTTGCTCTTTTTTTACTTTTTCTGCACTGCCAAAGGGTCCCAACAATTTGCCAATGAATGTGTGCAAATAAAAAACTTTATTTGCGAGTTTTTCATGATAATTTCTTAAGGGCATAAAGCCTTCGACTTCCACTTCTGTTCCTTATTCTTCCTAGCTCTCGTTTTGGGCTGGCAATCAGAACTGGCAGCGACACTGTGTGAAGGTGCAATACACTAACAGCTATTTGCCACACTATTATTAAACCTATAAATTTGGACAGCACCTGCGCAGCACACGTGTCGCATTAACAGCAACAACTAAAGTGGCTTAATGTGAGCGACACGCAAATCTCGCATATTTTTTTCCTATTTATGCTGCTGCTCTTCTCGCACTTGACAGTTATTTGTGCAGCTGTTTGAACATGCTCACAATATTTTACGCATTTTAAAAATGTTCATTCATTTTTGTTTAGTACATTTTAGTTGAGTTCAGAGCACAGAACGTGATTTGCCTTGAAAATTGAACAATTGTCGGTGTGCCTGACTTTAGAAGTCTTGTAAAATGCTAGCAATTATTGCCCTAAAGAGTATGTAGTTCACTCAACTGAGTGCAGCATAGATCAAACAGTTGGTGCTTCGAACCACTCTAGTAGAATATATAAGATCTATTGACATGGGTGAGGTTCTAGAGATGGCTTTCGACTTAGTGCCGTATTAGCATGGTATTAATGGCAACCATCTGATGTCAAATAAACTTCGGGTGACTTGTGATGAATACACGACCATCTGCAATGCCAACACGATGGAGTACATGGACATACGGAAAGCCACTTGTTCCTTTTGCTCAAATTACAAACCATGGAAAACCATGGCAATAGCCATAAATTTGTATGTATATTAGAACTTGTCGCTTTTCAACACGACAATAATTTTAACAACCCGCTGATTAAAATCATAAAGAGTGGTATGAAGAAGAATTTTTCCGTTAATTGAGAGACAAAAATAAAATTGGACATATTTATAAATATAGAATCAAATATTGATTGTCTGCAATGGTTGCAAATTCAGCTCGAAGTATTCTCAATTTTTTTTTTGTATTTGCAGAAATTACAGAAAATGAACAAGAAGGCATTATCAGTTTTCTGCTTGTAGAGAAAGTAGACAATAGTTGCTAGCAAAGCATATCTGACAAATGTCAGTCAAACTGAAGCCAACGAAAATAAGTGCGATTCATAGAACTACCAAGTAACAACCTGATATAAATATAAAAACATATATATACAGATGTATGTGTGTAGATGTAGGTGTGTTTACGTTACTGAACAGACAAGAATTGGATATCAAAAGCTTAAATTTTTGATAGTCAAGCTTCTCCTTCTGTCTGCTTATTGCAGCACAAATATACTATCGAGTTTTTGCTGTTGTTGTGGGTTGTGCAACACAGAAAACGCAATGTTAGACAGGCCAATAGACAGACCAGATACAGCACGCAATGTCTGCCTGCCTGACTGCTCCCTAACAGCAACACACCCGCACATATGCACTGTGTGTGTGTGTGTGCGTGTGCTGTGTGTAAAGTACTTTTTCTTGCTGTCTTGTTCACTAGCTTGGTTTTTCCTTATCGGAAACGAGCTTATTCCGTTCAATGAACTGCAAAATATTGTTTACCTCTGCTTTTCCTCTGCCACCCCGCCGCTACCTAGTACAAATTGCGTATTCGATTGTGTTTTCCGTATGGCACTCCTGTTGCACATAGTCGTTTTTTGTATTCTTTGCGGCCGTTGCTGCTACACATGGACAACGGATTTTGATAAATTTTTATTAGATGACCGTTCGAAACGGCAGCTGAATTTGTCATTAGCGCATAAACAAATAAATTCTCACATTACTCAAGCGCCCCGCTGGCCGCAAAATCGACGAAACACAGCTCGAGCGAAGCTTAGAAGAAGTTGAGTCAACGAATTTCAAAGTCTGCAGATTCTGTGGTAAATTCTTAAAAAATTCGTTATGGGTCTCACAGCCAACTTTTAATTTGGAACACATTTCTGGTTTGGATGTCCGCATTTTTCTGTCACTGGCCACAACACACAGACAAATACCACAGTAGCCGAAGAGCTGGCGGAACTTTTTCACAAACACGACATTTGACATATTTTGGCTTGAGCTCTTTGCTACCCTTCTCAATTAGGCTGACGTTGCGTATGCGTAATGTGTGGTCAGAAGGGAATGACGGAAATACAAACTAAATACGAAAAAAAATTATGACGACGACAAAAAGCTTAGCGTGCCTTACTTTTGAGCTTCAGCAAGGCAAAAAGCAACCCACCAATCCACGAGCCCATGTCAAAGTCTAAAAAAGTTCTTATATTTAAGAATTATATATAATCAGCAGAGTTAAAACAATGGAGTAAACTCAAATTATAAGATATAAAATTATTTTCAGATTAATTTTCAAATATAAAGACAATTAAGAACCAAAGAATGTACAAATAATTATTAATGAATAAATGGATAAGTGCATATTAAATGCTTACATTTATTTATTCCACCACTACGACTTAAATTGTTTTAATGCTTTAGTTTGAATTTAGTTTCCCATGGTAATTTTTGTCCACTTGACATACAATTTATCAAGGTCTGGTGCGAAAGTTTTTTAGCTGTGACCCGATTAAATTTGAAAATAGTTTGATGTAGGCCAAGCAAGCGTAAAGTTGAATATTATTGTTTGGGCTAAAAGCCATATGAGCTTCGACGATATTTGTGGTTAAAATGCAGGCCAAGTTTTAAAAAAATTAACATATTATTTGTGCATATTGCTGCTCAAGTGCTCCGCATTTTTTTGCTCTGCTCTACGACTTTATCTGAAACGATAATTTTATTGGACATTAAAAAGAGAAACGTGACAGCACATCAACGCCAGTTACATAACATTAAAAGGCTATACAAATGTCACATAAAAAGTGAATGAAACAAAAGAAAAACAGAAAAAGCTGTCGACAATCTTCAGGAAGGGCAGCTCCACTGCTTGTAACATGAGGCCTAAACTTGGTGGCGGCTGCGTGTTTGCAATGAAATTATAACAGCAATAGCTACTTGGCCAACAACTTCATATGTATATTTATCTGTGTATATACATATGTATATATGTCAGATAAGTATCACATATCCACACCTATCATGGCCATCAGTCATAAACTACTGAAGGAGCTGGCTGTTTGGCATATGTCCACGGCAGGACGATCGACTTTGCTTAACGCCGACATGACATAAAACGTAAATGGCATAAAAAGCTATAATGTGCCGTTACTTGTAAGATAAACAATAACAAACCGTTGGCTTGTTTCTTACGGCCGTTCAAAAGACAAAAGGCCGAGTCTGCTGCCAAGTAATAAGTCAGGCCAAGCATGCCACATGCAAGAGTCACAGTCGCAGTCGCAGTCAGACTCGTAGTCAAAGTCAGATCTGATGGCTCAGACCTCCCCAAAAGCGGAACAAGACACGAGCAGCGTTTGGCCAATTGATGCACGACCGTACTTCACATGTTGATGCCAGAGCGCCCTACGTGCGTGTCCCCGTTTGTGGAACATGGCAGCTGACGTGACTGGATATGAAGTTCTCGTGCAACTGTTGGATTTTAAGTAATTTAAGCGACGTTTCTTTAGCCCTTCTTATTTTTTTTCACATTAAATTAATATTTTTCTTCGTGCATATAGTATATAAAAAAATAAATTAGCTAAATGTCTTTTGATTTAACAACAAATTCCTAAGTATCTTAAATAATTAACTGCAAACAAACAAACTCGTTTCGTATTTATGTTAATCTTGGGCTTACCCTATTCCTGTAGGGTATTTAAAATCTATAAGTAGCTATTGCGAACATATTTTTTATCTATCGTTGGCAGCATCATGTTTACAAATGTAAAATTCAATAAAATTTAACGATTATTTGTTTTCGACGACGATGTTTCGATTGCTATTAATATATTCTTGCGATGCTTACAATTTGTTTATGGCGTTCGTGCCATTTCGACTGACAACGACAACAGCGTTCATTCGCAATGACAAATTGCGACTTAATTCAATTGAGCACATTTTTGATGCTCAAGGTCTTTAAGTCCTTCTCTTGGGTATTGGGTAATGGGTAAAACTTACAGCCATGTATATGTATTTAGACGTAGCATAGCAGCGTAACGAGGCCTGCCGTTGGAAGTGTACGTATTGACAACAGCAAATCGCTGCTCAAGCGTGCAAATTTATTGCAGTATCTTGGCAAATAGCCAGAAATAAAAATCTGATCATAAAATGATAGTAAATTGAGACATTTTTGTAAGATTTGATTTGATTTCAACTGTACACAATTATTTATTCTTTAAGTCCAATATCGTCTGGAGAGGCAGCTGATAGGTTCGCTAAAAGCGAATACGGAATTTATGACTGCTGCCATGTGGTATTGTGCTTGCTCTGTGGTTGTTTATTTATACGCTGCCAGCAAATGCATTATTGAAATAAAATAGATTTGTATCGCAGGTGTGACACCCGTTGCACTCTTTCTGCCACTACATATTGGCATATGTAGAGCACTACTGACCACACTTACAAGTTACGTCGCCCGCAAAACCAGCGTACCATAACTTATCGTGCCCCCGCCTTCGACCACAATCCGTCCGGCACATAAACATTGCCGTAGATGTAATATGCCCTGGGCAGCAACAGGCCTGCATCATTCTGCGTGCGGTTATTGACAAATGTATTTCCAATTGTTTCAGCTTTTCTCTCGCACTCTGTGTGTCATGCCCTTCATCGGTGTCTCGCTCACTCGGTCCCTCTCTCGCTTGGTATCAGCTGGCTGCTACGTGACGCTTATTACAATTTTACTCACCTGCATGTTTGCCCACATGTTTTATTGAGCTGCAATAATTTCCGTTTTTCTCCTCGCACACATTTTTTCCTGCATAGCTCTCTAACACTTCATTGAGGTCAACTGGCATGTGAGGCTTATGTGAAAATGTTTCTATAAATAGCAAAAAAACTGACTTGAATGCCAGGTAGCCAACCGAATGTTTTGCTTTGGTCATATCCATTCAATTGAAATAATTCTTAAATATATAAACTAAATATTTGAAATGGATTGCTTTTAAATACAATTCAAATAGTTTGGTTTTCGCTACTCTTCAATTCTCGCTGTGCATGGAATATGTAAATGCCGTTCAAATATTTTTTCAATTTTTGATTTTCCGTGCCATAAAAATAATCAAATATCAACTATAAATGCTGAGTTATAGTTCGAAAGGCTTTATATTTCAAATGTCTGGCTCATGCTTGTGCACAGTGCATGGCGCACGTCGCGTATACGTATTGGCTCGAATTTTTACATGCGCGGACGAATCTGAAAATCGAAGCTCGTATTTTTTATTTGTCAATATTTTTATTTTTATTGGTTTATTTGCTGTTTGGTTTGGCCTTTTTTAGCAAACAAGTGAAACATGGCGTCGCAACTGAAATAGCAAAAGGTTCCGACATACAATAAATACAAATAGTAAATAAAACTAAAAACCAAAGCAAAGCAGCAAAATATAATTTGAAATTTTAATAAAGAATTGCAAGATTTACGTAAGGTCGTATGACTCTTCCAAGGATATCTTGCTGTGCATAGTTTACTGGGTATTGAGCGCTGCGGAGCATCCAGAGGCAATCACATAAGCGCTCTGTCACCTCTACAATACAATCAAGTGCTCAAAAATGTGAGCTAAGCCTGAAAGTAGAAACCACAAAGCCAACCTCTATGGCTTGGGGTTGTATCAGAACAACAGCATCTACGACAACAAAAGCAAGTAAAAAACCATGAAATGTGACAACCACAATTTTATCTGCCTCTTGTTTGTTGTCGTCCATGCCAATTTTTTGCTCTGACCGAAGGCAACAGCATTTTGTGGTTGCGACAGGCTTGAAAAAGGAATTTTAAAAAGTGAACAAAAAGAAAATGGGAGAAGACGCAGCAATTAAGCTATATCAACAGGCTGCCAGAGTAGATGGGCTTGTGGACGATGGGTCACAGACGAATATCAAGTTAGGGTGTACGGCTCAAATTAAACATCAGTCATGTGGTGATCGATAAAGAACCAACAGTAGCAACAGCAGCAGCAGCTTTATGTTACTGTCGGATTTATGCGTGCCAAGACATGAGCACGAATTTGCATAACAATTCGTTTCAATTTAACTTGTACTTACTCAAAGCATGACCGTGTAATGTGGACCATTATTAGCGCTAGCTCGGCTAGCCAAGTGAACAAGTGCGTTGGCAACAATTTGGCTGAAATAACAAGAGCTGCTGCCCTGGCCATGATTTAAGATGCAACTGCAAGTGGCAATAAATCAAATCAAAGTTTTTTTCTGCACTCTAACCTGGTATCCAACCCTCGCTGACTTCCACCCACCTCTTGCGTATGCGGACAAGTGCCTTGTGGCCAACAATAACTTAATTGCAAAGTCATGTTTGCTTTGTGGCCATGTCTTGGATGTTGCGAGCTACCTGATGCAGTTGTTGCTGCCGCTGCGGTTAACTAACACGCCAGTGGCCAGCTGCAGCAGGCAGCCCGTTCACACACACTCCCACACACATACAAAATTGCATTGCCTTATAGGCAGCTGAACATGACTGCAAACACCACAAGACTGAATTTCTGTACTGGACATGGTTATTGGGCTTGTGTGTGCCAGCCAAGCGAATGTCTTGGTCATCAGCTGCTTAAGGCGAGCCCTAATGTATCAGTGTTTCGGATACTTAGTATAGCTTACAGCATAAATTCGATTAAGTTCTGTTATGCATGACAAGATGTGCGCTTGGCTTGACATAGTAGATCATCTTTGAAAAGATGTCTGTAAGTTGCGACAGGCCAATACCATTTTCTTGTGAAATTGTTTGACTGTCAAAGCTTTCTTTACAAGCTAAAAATGTTCAGATTATGGGTATTTAACTAAGATCATGTTCCAAGCAACTATTTTTAGTTCACAATTTAATTTTCTTTTACAGATCGGACTAACATACTCGGCAGCAACCTTCAATGAAAATTTCCTCAAATACACGACATTTAAACTATCTTAAATTCGAGAGCTCGCTTCATGACATGCCAAAACGAGAGCCAGAGTATTGAAATGCCAAATTCATTTTTGGAAAAAAATGAAACAAGGAACAAGTACGAACTGCTATTAGCAGCACATTTAAAATAAGTTCGCAAAAAGAGGAACCTCAAATAAATAAATATATATATATATATATATATATATATATATATATATATAAATATATATATATATAATAAATATATTTGGCCAACATTTTGTTGCTGCTGCTGCTGCACATGGTCGCTGTTCAGGGCATAAACTTTAAAATTGAGCCAGGCACACAAAGAAGAAGAAAATAAAAAACTTTTAGTTTTATTGTCATTTCAATGTATTTCCGCACTTTTAACCGCAGTCGCACATGCCTGCTGACCAAGCTCTAAAAAATGAAAGAAGGAAAAAACTGCAAAGAGAACAAAAAGTATTTCAGGCAGCTTCGAAGCCATAAAAAACTGCATTTGGCAGTTGTCGCCAAAAGGCAAACTACATCATCATAGAGCGAGGCTGTAGACCTTCGGTACGACCTCTCGCAGTACCCAAATCTATTTCTGCTGGTATCACTTAATGTCCTATAATTGGGCAAAGGAGCCAAAGGGTATTATGAATTAAGCCAAATTAGCATTTAAAGAGAAAGAGATCTCGCATTAAAAATAATATTAAAAATATTACATTTTTATTGAAATATATTTTGTAAGCTCAAAAACGTATACAGGGTATTTGTCAGTCGCGCAGTCCACAGAACTTAATGTTTTTTTATTCTAACATTTGCCGCAATGTCGCACAGATTTGCGTGCCAACGACATATTTAAAATGTTGAAAATTATTTATAATTAAAAGTTGGAGGCCAGAAACTTTTTCGGCTGTGCCTGTTGCCAGCTTATAGACCCAAATCTCCCGCCCTTCCACTCTTGACTACCTCCGGCGCCTTGCATGGAGGCATTGTTATGGCGCATGTAATTTTTTAATAAAAGTGCCTGGGCAGCCGAGTTCATTGGAGCCGCAAACGTAGACGGAATGATTGTTATTTACGCAATGGCAATAATAATCCGTATTTTTGCACGTCCAACGGACACACACAACTGCAGGCATCCACACATAACTAAATATGAGTCCTCTGTCTGTGCCCATAACCAGCAGAAAATTCAATTTTCCTTTGCCTTTATTCAAAATTCCAATAACTCACAATCAGAGCGAATTTCTGCCTTGGTTGACTTCATTTCAACTGGGGCTTTTTCCATACTTCCTTTGTTTTTATTTCTTTTATACATATTTATATATTTTTTGTGGCTTAGTATGTACAAACACACATACACACGCTCCCACATGTGTGTGACCATGTTCGTAAATATTTTTATTCAGTTTGTGGGGTTTTGCATATTGAACTACTAAGTGAGAATAAATCAACTGTGGTTGCGTACACAAAGAATTGAAATTAAATATAAAGATTCTGCTTTGGAAGAGAGTAAAATATATTTGGTTATTTATTATTATTTAGTTTCAATGTAACTTAATTTAGTTTCATAAAACATATTGTCAATGAACAAATTTTAATTATTTTTCTATTAATGTTAAGTTAGTTTTTTATTTAGAATTACTATTTATGTAAAAGTGAATAGATTTCAAATTTGGTAAATTTAGTAAAATAAATAAAAAAGGAATATTTTACAAAAGACTTAAAAAATGTAATTTTAATTAAAATTGTTGCTTTATTGGTCTATATTTAAATTGAATTGCCATTAAAAATGCATTTATTATATTCCAGGCTATTAAAGTATCTCTGGACTTGGCCAAGCCTATCAGCCCAATAGCCAACCAACTATAGTGGAACTGTCCAATAAAAGTCAATAAACAAACTGTAAGATATGCGCATTTTTCAATTACGTATTCTCAGAGCGACGCCCAACTATACAAAAGTTCAGGCATAGATATAGCTATGCATCTGTGTGCATGTATGTATTCAAATACATTTATACACATATGTAGCTTTGTGTGTGTGTGTTTGTGTAGTGCATATAACAAAACACAAATTCAAATGGCATTTTATGCAACATGGCTTGGCACTTCGTGTGGAGCAAGAGGTGCGGGGGCAGGGCATCGAGTTGCACTCGTTGAAACATGTAAGCCATGTATTTCATTATGTTACGACAAACTGCCTGACACGGGCGGCTAATAACGGCAACAGCAAAGGCAATGGCAACGGCAACAGCAACAGTAACGGCAACGGGCAGTCATGTACAGAGACAGTTGTTGTTGCTGTTCGAATCCCAGAGCCGAAGCTGCCCTTTATGCCAATGCAGAGCCTCATGCAAATTTTTACTAGAAGTTGGAAAATAAAAGTAAAAGCTGAATCGATGCGGGTCAATAGTCAGCGCCTGCTTACAGCAAAATCAAATTAGTATTAGGTAAAATGAAAAAAAAAAAATTAAGAAATAAAATGGACTACGAGTGGGCCACGACAATATCGTAGAACTTCTCGATATCTCTGCTCCTGCCGCCCAATCGCTCCTTCCCTACCCCGCAGGCACTTCGAAAACGCTTCCGTGCACATGACTGACCAGCACAACTTTAAATAAAAGCAAGCAACTGCAGCTGGGAACTTAACATAGTGCCCGTTGGTAAGTCAATGTACTTGTGCGCCCAGTTCGACTTTGACTGCTCGCCGAAACTTTTCGGGCGGCCAAGTCAAGCGTGGGCCTTTAGTTTAAAATCAAGTATTTGTTAAGCGCTGCGATTCGATTTTATGAATCGCTATGAGTTTTATAGACTTCGTCTCTGGATTATGGCTCGAGTGGGGTTGCCTTCAGCCCTCCAATTCCAATTGATGCAATAAACATGCGCTACTGCGTATCCGCAGTCGTAGTCGCATCCGCTACATTTCAACCGTCCGCAGGAACTGAAATAATATTTGCTGCTGTTGTTAATTTTATTTATTAATATGCGCTTTATTTGAAACATATTATTAAAATAAACACAAATAAATAAAATGAGCTGAAAAGTGCATTAATCAAAAATATGTGTAAAACGCAAACGGAACAGGAAGCGCTCATGTCAAGTGTT